AAGTAATGAGGAAACCCATTCTGGTTCTGCATTTTTCTCAAAACGAGAAACTACCATAGGTATAATTTACATGAGCACAGAATTATAGAGCTGCTGAACAATAAAGAAAATAGTTTAATATATTGTACAGTGCTAGGGTGAGATGCCACATATTCACTGTCTTTTTTAAAGAAACATTTTCAATGTTATTTGTAGGTTGATGTCTATTCTTCCATCTTAAAAACTATACTGGTGCACCTATAGCTATTATAGAGAGCACTCTAATTTTAAAAGGAATGGAAATCACTGGGTTTCAAATAAAATTATAGGCTTGGGTATTCTAACTTTCCCTCTGTACAATGGAACAGAATTCATGGAATGATGTGCCCCATCTTATCCTTGTTTTTGCATTCCTTGTTCTTCTCTGCCCTCAGATATTCTATGGTATAGTGTAGAACATGCAGAGAACATTCTAGGGAAAGGTAGATGATGGAGATACTTATGAAAATTATCTTCTATTTAATACAAGGAGAAATGCATGATCCAAACTATGTTTCATGTCCTATCATACATAAAAAAATTGATGGTAAGTGCTCATCATCATATGTTTTTAGTGGTTAGAGGTTGTACCTTTTAAAGTCAACTTATGTTCATTTCTGAGCAAGGTAGTACTGGGACTGACTTAGAAATATCCTGTTCTAGGATGTAATACAGAGAGTAGATATCGAGAATAGATGTTCCACAGAAATGTATAACTTGTTATGAATAGGAAAGGAGAACTGAAGAAGCTTCTTAGATAAGAAGCAAAATGTCTTCAAGGAGTAACAAAGAAAGCCCAGTTGACTCTTGAAAAAACACCTTTGGGACAACCATGACCTGGATTACTGAGAACCTCCATAAAAAGGAGATGCTTGTTGCTTATTGTGATATGTATTGAAAGATTTTATTTCAACACATGTCAACTTTCAAGGTGCATGGATTAATAATCATAAAAGGCTTATATTAAGAGACAAATTCTGCCAAGCATGGCTCTTTTGGGAAATTATTGATCTAGCCTGTTGATGATTTTTTCCTTCAAAAAGTGGAGGACATCCAAGATTTGTTTCTAGGAAAAAAATAATAATAGACAGGTGGAAAATAGGAGGAACTTTAGGAAAAATAACAACTAACACTGAAAGTTTAGATATTTCCAGACACTAAAGCTGAGTGTACATTGTTTTTTTATTTTTTACTTATTTGATTCATATAGCTGTCATTCTCATTAAAAGCAACTCTAGATAATGTACAACAAAGCTGGTACTTGAAGGCAGATCTTAGACTTTAAAAAAGATGACATTTTAATAAATTCAGAACAATGGAGTAGGACTCCATAAAAGGAAAAAATAATTAAGAAAATAATCCAAGATGGTTGGAAGTTTCCCCCAAAAGTGAAATTGAATGCTTAATTGCAAGCAGTTCAAATGAGGAAAAGGAAATACAGCAGAAAAAGCTAATATCATTACAAGAACACTTATTTGAAATGTGAAGATTTAAAAGGATAAATGTGGGAGAAAGTGTCAGGAAAGCTAAAGCTCTTAATGACTTGAGATTAGCTAACAAAATAATCACTTTCAAATATGTTCAAAATTAAAGAATAAGAAACAGTGCCATTCGGTGAACATGAAAAAAGGTGATAAAGAAAAGGAAGAGTTTCTACACTGATTCAATATTCTCTGCATTTCACCAAGCAATTATGATTCCAGTTCCAGCAAAACAGAAGTGTAACCTTTTTGACTCTGAGTTCAAGTGAAACACATCCTAGAAGGCTAAAAATAATTGTTGATGGTTTAGATGAAACTCATTATTCATTATTCTTAAGAAATTTGTTAGAATGAGGAAACTATCTAACAAAATGTTTTTCCTTTATTTCTAACTTGAAAAAGAGAAACAAAAGATAAATTATTTAGACAATAATCAGATTATTTAGACAATAATCATAGAAAAAAATTATAGGGCAGATTATGAACAGTTCACCTATAAACATCTTGAAAATAATACAGTGATTTAAAAAAATGATCTTGGATTTAATATTTTGTGATATCCCAATTAGTATTGATGGATTGGACAGTAATTCATAACTAGTTTGAAAACTACTCAGTGAGTAATTCTTCATCAAGTGGAATAAAGTGAGATATATTTCAGAATATTATATGAGTTGTTCCTGTGCCTCAAACATTTTCATAAATGATCTGGATGAATATTGTATAAAAAAATTTAGATACAAAACTTTAAAATCTATCAAACTGGAGGGGAGTTCAAAAATTATTTTGATTAGTGTTAGAAGTAGGCTTAAAATAATAGGATGATATTTGACAAAGAAAATTCAACTTAATAAAAATTCAATATATATGCAAAAGGTGATGATTCTCTGGACTGGTAGTAATACATGAGAAACAAATTTAGGAATCACAAGTTGAATATGAGTGAAAATTGTGAAAAGATGTATAAGAGGCAAATACAATTTCTGGCTGCGTCAATAGAATTTTAATTTCCAAATTACAAAAAAAGTACTAATTCTACTCTATTCTGCATTGGTCAGATTCTATCTTAAACTCTTAGTTTAAGATGAGAGAAAGGCAATGCAGATAATCAACAGACTAGAAACTAAATCTTATGATCAGAGACCTGATCAATGTACCTGAGTATTTTCACCTTGTAAAAAGATTATTGCAGGGAACAAATGGTAACATTTTTCACACACATGAAAAAAATATATAGGGAAAGTTCTCCAGAAATAACCAGAAAACAAGGATCAATATACTGTAGTTCTCAAGCTCCAGGAAGACTGATTAAATGTTTGTTAAGACTACTTTGATAGATGAATCATTTACCCCTTCTTGGCATTTTCCAGCAGAGACTAGACAAATTTCTGTTGGCAAAGCTTTGATCTAGATTTTTATAATGATTAAGAATAACTCAATAATCTTAATTTTTCCTAAGAATTATATGTTATATGAATTAAATGCTAATTTATCCAGGGCTTATAAATGCATCCCCACAGCATGATATATTTTTTTCAGGTTCACCACATGTGATAGCTATTGGAACAAGAGAGGTCCTTATTATTTCTTTAAAATTGCCAGCCCCATCATGAATATAAATTTCAATCATATCAATTCCTGCCTTGCAGAAAAAAAGCAGTACTTGTAGCTATCTGAGTTTAAAACAAGCTTTAAAATGGCTCAACCAGATGTTTGAACAGTATGCTTGAATGTATTTTGAATGAGAAATATCCAATTTCATTAAAAAGAAAAATCCTGAATTATAAAAATTATTTACATTGTAATTAAATTTAACTACCATCAATCTGACTGCCAAAGCAGGATTAGGGAGAGTATATTAACAACAACAACAAAAAAAAAAACCGGGCAGGAGGCATCGTCCCGTTTATTCATGTTATGGGGGTGTTTCTCTGTTTTGATGGCTTCCCTGATTATTCTCTTGTTGAAGTGTTCAGTATTGGAGATTAATTAGGTTTCCTCAAAATTAATTTCATGTCCTGTGGCTTTTAGGTGCTGGAAAAGGGAGGAAGTATTTTCTTCTTTTCTGACTGCGTTCTTGTGTTCTGTGATGCGTGCATTTATTCTCCTGTTGGTTTGTCCAATGTATGTGGCTGGACAATTGTTGCATGGTAGCAACAATTAGCCCTTATCAACAAATGAGTCCCAGCCACGAAAACCAAAACCAGACCCAAAACAACACATGACACCACCACCATTCTCCCTCACCAGACTCAAACCCAAGCCCAAACCCATCCCATAGATGAAAAACAACCACCATCCAGAAACCAGACCACGGCTGCATCACCAGCTGCCACACACCCCGACCCCCAAACCAAGCAAACAGACACACACCATGAACACATATCCAGGCCTCAAACTCAGAGCCAAACCAAAACCCGGAACATCACATCACAGCCACCCGCTCAGGATATCACATCACAGAATTCAGGAGGTTACACCACAAAACCTCAGGATGTTGCAACACAGCCAACGACCCAGAAGATTACAGCACAAGACCCAGGATGTCACAACAATAGAACTCAGAAGGTCATCACATAGCCCATGACCCAGGTCATTACGACCCAGGAGATTACAGCACAAGACCCAGGATGTCAAAACAATAGAACTCAGAAGGTCATCACACAGCCCATTACCCAGGTTGTTACAACACAGGAGGCTGATAGACACACAGCCAATACCTCAGCCAGACAGGTTCTTATGAAAAAGCCAGCCAATCTGCAAACATCAACTCCATCAACCAATCAAGAAATGACTACACAGCTAACCTCCCACCAGTATATATAGGGAGATGGCAGCTCCGATCACGCTTTGCTCGCACAAGCACAAACCCAAAAGCACCAGCCTGAAGATGGTGAGTGAGACCTCGTCGAAATGTTGCCAAGATACTCTCAATCTTACACAGGAAAAGACCCGTGAAAATCTATGAATATATGTGTGTGTGTGTGTGTGTGTGTGTGTGTGTGTGTATGGTATTCAGCTTTGTTCGGGTATTTTCCCATGTCATTATAGTTGTGCTTTTAATAATGACGTGGGAAAATACCTGAACAAAGCTGAATATCATACATATAAATACCTGCGACGTTCGGGTCTTTTCGCATGTAAGATTAAGAGTATCTTGGCGACATTTTGGCGAGGTCCCACTCGCCATCCTCAGGCTGGTACTTTCGGCTTCATGCCAGTGCAAGCAGTGTGTGATTGGAGCTGCCGTCTCTCTATAAATACTGGGGGGGGGGGCCTGATGTGCTGGGCTGGCTGGCTGCGTTGCTGCCTCTTGATTGGTTGATGGAGTTGATGTTGGTATAATGGGCTGTGTGATGGCCTTGTGAGTTTTGTTGTGGAGATATCCTGGATCTTATGCTGTAATCTCCTGAGTCGTTTGTTTCGTAGTGATCTTTTTTCCATTAGCCTCCCATAGTGAAAAAAGATTAGCAAATGTCTCCCGTAGTGAAAAAAGATCACTACAATTATAACATATCTTCCTTTGCCCTTTATTGTGTAATCTGTCTTTGGTCTATACATTCGTACCAGCAGTTCCAGCTGTCATAATACATTGATGTTTCTTCATCTTTTAATGCCAAAGTTAATTTGTCCATTTCTGCACAACTTGACATTTTTTGAATAATCATTTTCTCTGATGGAACATGAGGTTGTTTCCAACACTGTACAAAAGCCAATCTGGCCGCTGTCAAAGTATGTACTATTGTATACTCAACTTTTTTGGGAAATTGTTTATTAAAGATCCCTAATAGAAAGAATTCTGGTTTGAATTCGATCTGTTCTATTGTCATTTCCTCCAACCATTTTCTAATTTTCTGCCAATATTTTCGAGCCTCTGTACAAGACCACCACATATGGAAGAATGTTCCCTCCTTTTTTCTTCTTTCTTCTTTTTAATTACTATTTAGCATATGATGAAAACATGACAGAAGAAAAGTAAACATATACACAATATCCACATAAATAAATACGGACCTTCTACAGACATATGCTTCATCACTGGAGGTTTTTAAGAAGAGACTGGACAGTCCCTTATCTGAAATGGTATAGGACAGTGGTGGCTAACCTTTTTTGGCTCCCGTGCTGATAATTGCGTGTGTGCTCCTGCGCTCACGTGCCAACACCCAGAAGGCTATGCATGCTGAGGGCCCCCACACCCCCTGCACATGCACGCATAATCACCCTCCGGTGCACCGCGCAACTCTGTGAATGCATCCGTGACCCCCCCCCACACTGCACTTGTCTGCGCATGCATGTGTGTCTCTCATGCCCCCCCCGTCCCCCCTGCGTGTCAGATACCTGACAATCAGCTGTCAGGTGACAGCGGTGCATGCACATGCGCAGTGGGGCTCTTCTGGGTGAGCTCTCGTGTGCTGGCAGAAGTGGCTCAGCGTGCCACTTCCGGCATGCGTGCCATAGCTTCGCCAACATGGGTATAGGATCTCCTGCTTAAGCAGTGGGTTGGACCAGGAGATCTCCAAGATTCCTTCCAGCTCTATTCTGATTCTGATTCTCCTAACTGGATGTCCAACAGGAGATTGCCTCTAGCATTGCTTCATCCAGATCTTCAAGGAGATAGGCTCTTCATGTCGTTAGTTGTCAGTGTAAGATATTTCAGCATTAGTGGAACGATAATGAAAAACAAACTAAATACAGAGTGTATCTACAATTCAAAGTGGGGAAGGCCAAGTCATGTTGGGTTTACTTTGCTTAGGAATATAAAGTGCTTATGAATATGTCTCTTCAAGTACCAATAATATGTCTGTTCAAGCTACCAATAATATGTCTCTTCAAGCTACCAATAACACACAAGCTTCTTTTTGTTCCAGGGACAATGGTGAATCTCAGCTCAGTTCAACCTTTTTAAGTTATCTTGAAAAAACTCATAAACTGAAAACACAGCCCTGAAGATCAGTATTACAAGGGGGAGAAAACCTGGAAATTTTCAGCTTTGTGACTGAAACACAAAAGGGCCTTAAACACAAGTAACATAAAAAGAAGGGAAAGATCAATGAAATTAATTTCCTGAACAATACATGATGCTTTAATAAGTAAGTAATGGTAAGGGTTTCCCTGTCAGTCATTTCCAACACTAGGGGGTAGTGCTCATCTCTGTTCCTTGGCTGAAGGAGCCAGCGTTGTCTGAAGAGATTTTCTGTGGCCAGCATGACTATATGCCAAGGCACACAGAGAACTGTTACCTTCACACTGAAATGGAACCTATTAAACTATTTGCATTTGCATGCTTTCGACCTGCTAGATGACCAGGAACTGGGACAAGGAATGGGAGTTCATTCGGTTGCAAGGCACTCAGGTCTCAAACCTGGGCTGTCAGCTTTCTAGCTGACAAGATCAATTACTTTTAACCACTGAATCTCGTGCCCCACACTTTTAATAACTTAATAATTTTCTTTATGTACTAAGAAAAGAAAATGATTTTGTCTGGGTGCAGTAATACAGATCAGAAAGAAAACTCAACTGATTATCACTGCTGTAAAGTATTCCAGGGAATACTATTTAAAATCATTGTCATCACAACCATCATCATTATCATCTTTAGTAATATTACCACAATGCTCTGACATTTGCTAATATTTTATTTATTCATGTACTTGTTATTGTTGCTTACTCCAGTAGACTCTGCATGTGAGATAGGCCGGACTAAAAAAACTCATAACAATAAAACATTATAGTCCTTCACAAATACAGGCCTGGGAGCAGAGCTGGAGACTTAAGAGCTTTCCAGAACCCCAGGAGAGTTGTTAAAGGTACACTATCATTGTCCTGGGAAATGTCATTGTCAAAGCCAGCCCTTTCATAAATCATCATTTCCTTCCAACTTCTGGAAAGGCATGTGATCTATCTTTGCTTTACTTTGATCTGACCAAACTCAAATATGAGATTTTGTTAGGGAAAAAAATGATCAATACCCCTTTGTAGCTTCAGTAGCACATGAAGTTGCATTCAAAGAAATGTTGATTGAACATTACCGGGAAAAATGGGAATATATGGCATTATCTTATTTTTCCAAAATGGACAAAGACCTTTAATTCTGTTATCTTGACTGAAGTCCACCCACCTAGTTTATTATCTACTTGCAGTCCACCATGCACAGAAATCATATTCAGTATTCATAACATACATGGACTCGGGGTGTCCTAAAACTCACATGTTGCTGTGATTGTATTGTTAAGCTGTAGAAAAGTTCCTTAAGGTGGAGCACAAAATATCTCTGTTGCAGTAATTGTTTAAGTAAACATAAGAGTTTTCTTCACATTAGAGCAGGGATTTGTTCAGGAAATTGTTCCTGAGGGAACCAAGTGCCACACTTTAAGGCAGCGAGGATGGCAGAGAGCCAGGGAAGGCAATGGAAATTGATTAAAAAAAAATCTCTTCAGGAACTTGTAACACTCCCCACCTTTGATGGCAGAGTAGTGAAGTCAAAGTAATATCCTGCCAATGAGTGCACTATGCACCATGTTACCTTTTTCATGTAGCAGCTGAAAAAAATTATGCCAATATCCCAATTACTTTTAATAAACATCAGGAAGCAGGCAATACTTAAATCCTAAAAAGGAGATGGAGAACAGAATAGTTAAGTCTATCTTGAAATGAATAACGTGTGACAGAAAAATTGTGGTTGATCTATTACGCATATTCAATATGAAAGCCTTGAAGGTTTTCAATAATTTTCAATAATTAGTTTTGTGGTCTAAGAAACACTGCCTTAAAAACTAATCTGTGTCACAGTTGGTGCATTTGATCAAGAACAAGGAGAAGAAGAAGGAAAAGCACCAACTGGTTTACAGATTAAACCATGAAAAAAAAAATCCATTTCATAAAATGAGTTCCTGGATTTTACTTTGTAGATAGATGTGTAAATGTTGTGAAATATTAAATCAAAATTAATTTCTAATTCCAAAGAAACAGCAAGTGATATGTAATTTTTCTGAACCATTGGAGATTGAATATTAAATGACACAACCAACATGAGTTTATCTAGTAATTACTAATGTATGGTTTCATGAAGGTTACATGAGTGCAATCAAGTTGATTTTAAAAAATCCTATTCAATAGAACACAAAAAATGGAGCATTCAATAAGTACAATACATGAAAGGTTTTAGAAGACTTTTTGTACAATATTACAATTTTTGTTTCCTCTCTGGATAATTACATTTCCCATTAAAAGCATATATAACTGAAGGGACAATTGAATCATTAATATTTAAATTTTCTATGGACTTCAAACCAAGAGTTTATTCCATGGGCAATTTTCTGTATTCATTATGTTACATTGTTTTATTTTTAAATAGGACATATTGGCTGCTTTATTGTTGAAATAAGTGTTTCCATGTTTGCATTTCCAACAATAAGTGAATGCTCTAAAGGAACAAATAAAATATTTCATTATTTTTCTATCTTTTGATTGTATGCAGAGAAGATAACTACAGAAAACTAAAGCCAGGGTTGAAGGTAAAGCTCTGGGATCCCATTCAGAAAAATGAATAGGACTGCCCTCAAACGGAGTTCAGTACCCTTTTCTATTTTGAAGTGCATTAAGTAATAGACGGGGTGATCAAAAAGTAATAGACGGGGGGATCAAAAAATTTAGCAAAGGGTTGTTTGCCTGGTTGCTGGGTAGGCATGGCCATGGTGGATGTGGCACAGTCAGCCTCCTGTACCATGGAAGGGGGGAAGTTCCCTGGGCTCCGGAGGCTCTCTGGAAGCCAGAAACGGACCCATTTCTGGCCTTCCCGAACTTCTGGGAGGCACATTTTTCACCCTCCCTGAGCCTCCACATGCGCCCTGCACTTATCTGCACTCAAACGGGCCGACTGGGGACTCCTGGGAGGGGCAGAGTGGGGTGGGTGGGGCCAGCCAGGAGTGGGATTTGGAGGTTCTCCAAACTGCACAGAATCTTAGCTAGCGGCTCTCTCAAACCCTCAGCAGCCCACCCTTGGTAATAGAGATTACTTTCTAAAACAGTGGTTTTTCAATCTTGGCAACATTAAGAGGTGTGGACCCCAAGTCCCAGAATTCCTCAGCCAGCATGATGGAAATTGAAGTCTGTAGGTCTTAGAGTTGCCAAGATTAAGAAATGCAGTTCTAAACCAAGGGAGTGCAAATTTGCTCACCTTAAAGGCAAGTTGAGGGATGTTATTGTAAACATTAGCAGGGCAAGTAGTTTGGAAGTAGCTTCAGGAGTCTGAGAGCACCCATTTTGTCCCTTACATCTGATTCTCCAAACAGAAACAAATTAGAGGGGGAAAAAAATCACATTTTTAGCACATGCACTTGGCAACTCTAGAGGGGCCAGCCAGGAGTGGGATTTGGGGGTTCTCCAAACAAAAGACATGCCATTGAATTGCATACTTTGGTTTTCTTTTTCTTAAACAGTACGTTAAAATGACGTTAAGAAATGCATATACTCACCCAGAAAATTCATCCTTTCTTAAAAAAAAAAAATGATAACTAGCTAACAAGTATTAAATGTTGAGGTATATCACAGCAAATTAGCTGGAACTGTACTAACCATAACTTTTGGCTTGGATATTTATTCAGTACCTTGGAAAATGTCCTGAGATTCAAACTGGATTTAGAAAACTTTAATTTCTATTTCTCATGTATTGCATAAGAAACCACCAACACAAATGGATTACATTTTCATGACTGGCAATTATTTAGCAGAGGTTGACATACATTCAGTGTAAGGGACAAAGCACACCACAAATGAAATTGTCAATAACTATTGTCCTTTCATAAAGGGCTTCCTACATTTGTTCATGGCAAATTTTTATGAAAATGACCCAGAATTTAAAAGTACCTTTCTCTG